CTCTCTCTCTCTCTCTCTCTCTCTCTCTCTCTCTCTCTCTCTCTCTCCCTCTGTCTCTCTGTCTCCCTCTCTCTGTGTGAAATGCTTCGATACTCTGCCCACTCAGGGCATATTAGCAGCAGTGGCAGACGTCATTGCTTTCCCTGGAACAGGCCCTCCCTCAGCAGCGACATGTAAATGCGACCCAGCCAAATGCGATGTACGTTGATGTCAGTCACCGGCCACGCCGTGATCATATGCACTTCCCTTTTGTGATTCCAGCATATCTCGGAATTATTCATCAACGCGTTGTATGCCATGAGGGGGAAGTGAGCTCTGCTGGCACGGAGCAAACAATGAACAGAAGAAGTAGATAAGAGTGGCACCCGTTTCTCTGTCTTTTTTCCAGTGTTACACACTGATGTGAGGGGATAGAAGGGGAGAGAATTAAATGTGGAATTCAGTCACGTAAACTCTCTATTTATATCTATTTATTATCAATCCAGCACAGCCTTGGAAGCGACCCTGCATTTCACCGCAATGTTGTTGGTTGCACTCTCTGACACATTTCTCATGGAATCTCTGAGAGTAAGAGCGTCTGCTGTCTAGGAACAAAAGTTCAGAGTTACAGGATTATGTGTGCCGTGTGTTACAGCGCTATCTGTCACTAAATTGAAAATAATAGACAGACCGACTCACGTGTTGCACCAGATCATCCTAGATTTCTTTATATTTACATTTTGTGCACACCAGGTGTAACTGCTGCATGGCCGACGGACCAAATTGACAAAACTAGCTTGCAAACGCATTGTGCAAATGATATTCAAGTAATTGGTTCTGGCCAACATATTTTTCCAGACACTTGGGAATCGATGATGCGATAGTGACTTCCTGGTTACTTAGTGAATTGCTTGGTGAATTTACTCATCACTGAAGTCTTTTTAATCTCAAGACTTTTACTTTTATTGGGTGCAACCTAGTTTAATAAATCACCCGTTTACACAGCTTGTGTGGAAAAATCCCTTCTGAAGTTTCAAGTATCTACCGGTTGCAGTCCGTGTACTGTAGGAATACATATGAGCGTACACCCACTTCCTCCCCAGGCACTTACCCACCTCATCAACAATCACCACACCGCTGTCCGTAACGGACGTACAAACAGCTGGTGCAAACCGATCCTGTTGACAGACGTGTTGTTTTGTGTCTCCCCAGGCAACTCGGGTGACTCGACCAGCTCCAGCCTCCCCCAGGAGGGGGCGGGGGCCAGCGCTCGCAGCTCCCTGAAACCACCAGACACCTTGCTAAAGAGGGAGCTCCGCTTGATGAAGAACAGGTAGAGAGAACCATTCACTCTCATCAGCCGTACCCACATCAATCAGCCGGCATTAGCTATATTAGTATCAGTGAATGTGTGGCTCGTGATGATGATGGAGCTACAGCCAGCAGACGGTTACTGTACTGTTACCTACTGTACCAGCACCTCTGAAGCTCACTAATGACCACGTTATATTGACGCTCTAGGTAACCCCTCAGGCATAAGTTTAGTTAGGTTTAGGCAACCTGGGTTTAGCTTTCTCCACCTTTGCTCCTTGACTCCCATCCTATCCAGAAGGTGTCACAAACACGGTCATAATCACCATCGTCTAAACATTCTGTGCCCACACGAGAACCCCGTTTTGTAGCTTTTGTAATGTGAGCTTTTTCTCTTTCCCTTGGTGTAAACTGATTCATGGGCGGCTCTCTGTTGGATCTGGGAGAAAAGCCAAGAAGCTTCTTTTTTTTCTTCTTCTTCTTCTTCTTCACGGTAACTGTTGTTGTTGCTTCCAGGGAAGCCGCCCGGGAGTGCCGACGAAAGAAGAAGGAATATGTGAAATGCCTCGAAAATCACGTGGCCGTGCTGGAAAATCAAAACAAGACTCTGATTGAGGAGCTTAGAGCCTTAAAGGACATCTACCGGCACAAAGCCGAGTGATTCCTTTGACTGTGCGGACTCCTTCTGCGGTATGACTTGAGGTCTTTGCTTATGCAGACACACATGCACACACTCGCACAAAACACTCCCTGTCCTTGCTGTAAATATGTGTTCACACGATGATGTCAACGTGTTTGGCTTTGAATTAGCCGGTGCGTCACCACCAGCAACAACAAGAACCTTGTGTCAGGTCAGGGTTATTATCAGTGAGTGTTACGAGGAGCTTATGTCCCTTTGAACAGGGAGGCTGCCGGAAAATATAGGAGGAAAAAGAAGGAATACATGGACGGATTGGAGAGGCGCATCGCCTTCCTGGAGACAGAGTATGCGATGCTGAAGGCCAACTTGCAGTGCGGGATGACAACGAACATCGGAACGTGCTGCAAATGTCTGAAGCCAAGGCTTTCGCAGTTACCACCATAACTGCACTATTTGGCTCCATTAAAATCTTGTATCAATTGATTGTCTTTCTGAGGGTCTGTTTTGCTCGGGAAATGCTCCCAGAAGCCAAAATGCTCAAAGGGGAATCGGGTCATCACAGAGCAATGTTTTGGGTTTTATGGTATTCTACTTCAGAAACTCTGATGCAAGCACACTACCAGCAATCAACACCCACTGCATTTATCACCCATCTTCCTTTGTATTTAATGTAAAGACCTACCACGATCTGTTGTGGCATTATATATTTATTTGGGCAGATTTACCCTGTATTTTCTATTTTTAAAAAGTATTTGTTATTTGAATAAGTGTATATTTGGTTAACTAATACACACATTTATGGAATTATATTAACTTACTGTATACGTGGCTGAATTTAGAAGTTAATTGTTTCGGTTCTCTGTTGGTGCTTTGTTATTCTCCTCTGCAACACCTTACCTGTTATGTTATGATCACCCCTTCTGATTGACATTGTTTTTAATGTATTTGCTTTAATAAAGTTTTTGCTCAGTCTCTCTGTGTCCCCCCCACACACAGTTAATATATAGATGTAGGACACAGTCACATAGTTCCATCATAAGCTTTTAGTGCCACGTGAGTCTCAACCTTGGAGGTTTTTTTCTGCTTAGAACCTGATTTGCTGTCCTTTCAGAGATGACTCGATTGCCACGACTCAGCGGCAGAGCAAAAGCAATGTCTCTCTCCCCTCTCACATCTTTTGGTAGATGACACGCATGCTGTGTAACGACCACCACGTTGTTGCGCAGTGCATGCTGGAAGAAGGGGATGTATTTGAACACATCTTACATAAATCACACACACAGATGAATGTGGATGTGGAAGAAAATGATTGGCCCGCTTCTCTTCTCAGTGATGGCATTCTCTGACTTAGTGGATACAACCAACGTCTCGAATACTCAAGAATTTGTCACAGTAAAAAGAAAAGTGAGGAACTGATTTAATAGTTACGATTATGGGCAATGGAACACCACAATTAAAGATGTGCAAAATGTTTGCGTGCAGTGATTCCCGCTCTGTCACTCCCCCCATGTGCAGTTTGTTGGGTGGACATCATGGAAACTAAACAACCGAGGCAAGAGTCCAATACCACTGAGACCTGCACTGAACACCTGTGCCTATTGTGAAACCTTATTCCTGTCCAGTCTATAACAAAACACGGTCAACTTTAGCCTTCCAAGAGACAAAAAAAAACATTGCAGAATGCACAGGCAGGGAAAAATAAATTCTGTCCCAGTGAATTGACTACTGCATTTAAATATTTAAAAATGTCTGGATTAATGAGAGCAGATGGAGTGCTTTGTGTTATAGACAGCAGCAATTAAAACACGTCATCATCTCTGTGAAGTCACTGTCCATTACATAGTTTGGTTTGGCTGTAATGTGCAAAATGCTTCAGTCTGTTATCTTGGTTTGCAGAATTTGAAGCAGCTTTGAAACGTCTTTTCTTAAACACCGGAGGCAGGCTGTAACGTGAGTGTAATGCACCTGCATTAAATGCAATGCAGGTGCAGTACCAGCAGGCTGCACTGCAGCACCACGCCTGATCGTGTCAATGTCCACATATCCTTTGGTCTCCAGCATAAACAGTGCCATCAAGGTGTCCATATTGTCTCGCCTGTCATGGATGACACCTGAAAGGGATTAGGCTATTCCTCGGGACCAAACCCTGTTTACGATGACCTCCGCTAATCTCACTCAGTCCTGCGGAGAGGTTTAGTATGAGCAGCATTCTGTCACAGGCAAAGCGAAGCCCCGGTGGATTCGTCCGTCATGAGGCAAGATCGTGTACTTAACTGGCACTCACAAATATGAGTTAGAAGGAAATGACAGATGTGCATGTTTGGGTCCATGACATGTCATAACCCAGGGATAAACAGCAATCACTCACCTGTTAAATAAAAACAAAAAACAATTGCTAGGTGGCCTATTCTTAGTACACTGTTATTATAAACTACATATTATAGTCACAAAACGTATCCTGTGACACATAAAGTATCTTGTGACTATCTTTTCATATTTATTCAAGCATCCTTGCACTCTGCATCATTGCACTTTTATCTCCATTAATTGTCCTCGTCTCCTAGTCATTGTTGTTGTGTTTTATGTTCATATATATACTTTGTAAATATATTTATATGTGTACATAGTAGTTAAATGTGTATGCTTACATTTGTTCTACTTTGTTGTCCTTGTTTTTGTGTATTTAGTTTAGTCACATTCCTTGTATGTGTACACATACATGGCCAATAAAGCTGATTCTGAATCTGATTATAGGTTCCTGCCTCTAGATATTAGTGGAACAGAATAAATCATTCACGGACTTCCTGAACGCACTTGAGAATATTTTTTCTATTATAGTCTGTATTTATATTTATATATTTCTTACCTAATTGTAGGCTATTCGTCAAGTGCCTGTCACAAATGTCCATTTGTTACATTGTAACCACCCACTTGAACCGGAACCTTTTCTCATGGCCATAATACTGTAGCTTTTTAAGGTATGTTTACGTGCTACCGGATATTGCACTTTCGATTTGCATACATCTAGCCGTCGACCCTTCTCCCACAATTTAGTACAAAACTACAAACAGCAGGAATGCAGAGTGAGTAACTGAAGGCAAAAAAATGAATACTACTACTGTACGTTGCTCTTTGACAATTGTTTTGAACGACAAACAATGCCACAATATCATGAAGTACCTAGGACATCAAACGAGGTGGTTAGTTTCCCTGGTTTATTTTTACTTTTTGTTTTAATAGTTTTCTCTCTGGCTTCCGGGGGTTAACCACTACTCGACTATAGGCCTACTGAATGCATTTAAAAGTGCGAAGCCATTTCTTAACCTTAGTGTCGAAAATCCGACTTTACGGGCAGCACCTGAAAGCCACACAACAGCGGATGTTGCAGCAGCAGTCTACAATACATCGGCAACCATGTAGCGCTGCGAGCTAAAATATCTCCCACCGACGAGCAAAAAAACATGTCCACATATGCATTCGTGTCGCGATAAAGTAATAGTATCTCAAAATGCGTTTGTGGAGATAACTGGACGCTCGGGCGGAAATTACAAGGCGAGGGAATCCGAAAACCGGGGAGTGTGAAACTGACGGCTACGAAATAGAGGCGCTATCTGGACGTCTGGAAGGAGACGTCGGGCTACTCCTCTGATTTATTAGCCTACCTCGGCGTTTTACCGGCCTTTTAAATGACTGAACTTCACCGGCGAAGCGCAGTCTGCTGTAGACTCGGGGGAAGGGCGTGCAGCGCTAACGGGTACCGGGGTTTGTAGTTTGCACCAGGTCTGTCCGTCCGCGTTACCGCCCCGTTTTTTCCTCCCTCTCTCTCTCTCTCTCTCTCTCTCTCTCTCTCTCTTTCTTGCGCTCTCTCTCTCTCTCTGTCGGTAACGTTATCAGCACGGCCAGGAGAAGGCTGAAGAAACCAGTTGGTTGTTTTTTTTGGACCTATAACCAAAACCTGCTTCCACCATGGGGAATACAACCTCTTGCTGCGTGTCCTCGAGCCCCAAACACAGGAGGAACAACCACTCCAGGCTCGAGCCCTACCGGCCGGAGCCGGAGCTGAGCCGGGAGGACACGGGCTGCAACCTCCAGCACATCAGCGACAGAGAAAATCTAGACGGTGAGATACAGATGCAGCTAACCCCCCCCCCCTTTTTAACATGTAAATAATACAATAAACAACACACACCTATTACTATTGTGAATATTATTGTTATGGTTATTATCATTTTGTAGTGTTGTCTAAAGATGTGTGCCGTTAGCGGATAAGGAGAGCTTGCAACATCTGTGCAGAGGACCCACCCACCCCATTACACCAATAACTACACCGCTGTAGGCTTCCTTCTCACAGGACTTCCAGCTTGTTGGAAATCAGCCATATGGCAGTGTTTTCCAAAACTGGGATGCAAAAGTACAAGGCACTTTTAGCTGGGAGAGTTAGTATTATTCGATAGTATTTTCGTGTACTACCTATTAGTTTCACGATTCTATTCCATCCTTATTATACACCGACTTTAATTGCTTCCAGCTTGCTGCTGCTGCTGCCTGGTTATTTGGTGGTCTGAGCCCTGACCCCGAGCTCACTTCATCTCCACTGTGTGTGTGTGTGTGTGTGTGTGTGTGTGTGTGTGTGTGTGTGTGAGAGGTTGGCCCAGTGTGTTGAAGGGCGGGTGTGAATTTGTGCTCCGGTGGGAGGTGATGCGATCATGATGGACAGTGTTCATGGCGGGGTGTCCATTCACTTCCTACGGGGGGCGAGCTGAATAGGAAATGACGCAGCCATCGCATATCAATGCTCATCAACACCAGCACAGTCGCACTCCACTGTACATTTTGGATCTGACGCCCGCAGGGCCAATCGGGATGTTCGTGGTATTTCCCCATGCAAAACGAGGAATAGTTTGGTGGCACTGATTTTGGCTTGTAAGACATTCACGCAGTTGTTGGTCAACATATATGCTTTATCCTAAATCAATCTATAAAGTCTTATCCGACAACAGCACAATTTTATTTCTAATGAGCTCTAACGTGTGTCTAATTGTGTATCATTGACACACACACACATACACACACACAAAAAAAACATGGCCAAATGCCACTTGGCATTATATATACACAGCTACAGAAAGGTAATTTACACCAATAGTCCATCCATCCATTCTCTGCTGCTTGACTGGGTCTGGGTGGTGTCAAAGCAGCCCAGACATCCTCCCCAGTTAGGCTACTTCCTTACTCATTCCCAGGCCATATGATAAATAGCTAATCCTCCCAGCATGTTCTGGGTCAGGGGTGTGCTGTTAGTTGGACGTGCCCAGAATACCTTACACAGGGAGGCTCCAGGGGCATCCTGATCAGATGTCTGAACCACCGAAACTTTCATCTTTCCATCTGAAGAAGCAGCAGCAGCTCTGCTCCGAGCTTGTTCACCTTACAATGGAAACTCGTGTTCGGTTGCTCGTGTCCACATTCTCATTCTTTCAATCAGCCAGACATGGAACAATGCCTCGATTAATCGTTTGGTCTATAAATTAAAAAAACAAAACTTCCCACAGCAGGCTACAATGTGACATCTTCAAATGTCTTGTGTTTAGCATTTGTGCTTGAAAACAGGACAAAAGCAATCAGCCGAAGAAAAAGGATCAATCAATAAACTAAAAAATCGCAGCTCTAACTTGACTTGACTTTTCTTTATTTTTTTTTTGACATATTATAGACTAAAAAATGAATCGATTAAAAAAACCTGAATGTACAATTCTTAGTGGCAACCCTCGATTGGTTAGAAGCTACTTGTGCCAGGCCTAATCCAAATGTCATGAGGTCGAAATGACCAACAAATCCAAACACAAAGCTTGGAATTGTGCCTCTGAGAGTAAATGTGATGATGGGAGGGGGAGGGGGGGGGTGTCCTGTTTAAGCTATTTACACAAGTCTTTAATTAATGACCCTTTGACCTCGTCACTGTATCTCTAATGGCATTCCACAGCCAGAAGCCTCCCGTGCCCATCCTGTGGAGGAATACCGCTTGATTCTAGCACGTGAACGCACTGGACAAGTCGCATATCGTGCAGCTCATATAATCTCGAGGTTCTTTGCGAACAGTAGATATGGAAATGTTCAAGGAGACTGCGTGAGGCAGTGAGATTTGATATCTGTCCTTTGAAAGAGTGAAGAAATAGTCGCTGAAGTGTTTCTCCAGGTTGATCATTTCTCATAAGTTAGATTTTAAGTAAGATTTTCTTTGGGTGCATGCCTCCATCTGCTTCTGTTGTGCGTGCGTGCGTGCGTGTGTGTGTGTGTGACCCCGGCTGCGTTGAGCATGTGATTGCAAAAATCCAACAAACAATAATCAGCCTTGAAAAACTGCTGACAGTGGTGACGACACACACTCACACTCTTTTGCATGCGCACAAACGAAACACACGCAGTGTTGCTTACGAGCGTGAGAGGGTCTTTCAGGTGGGCCCTGACACAAATTAGGCAGCGTAATCTGATTGGCCCGAGCAGTCGCTCACTCTCTCTCTCTCTCTAATGACCCGGTGCGTTCCCACCGTAGCTCACACACCAGTCGGAGATAAAGAGGCTGGAGGTTCACGCTTCACCTGACGTCTAATTTACACCTTTTTTTGTGCTCCGTCTGCCATGCTTTATAGGTTGTACTTCACAGCACGTGCCGTATGTCTGCTTCTCATGACATAGATGCTGTACCGTGCCGATGCAGGTCTCTCAGGGTCAAGCCCATCACTCGTGTTTGACTGTGATGAAGACGCGTCGACTACCACAGATATACAGGCCTAAAGGGTAGTTAAGTTTTGTGGCTGCTATCAACACAACGCTTTAGTCATCGATTCCCGGGGGGAGGAAGTCCCCCTCCTCTACAGCTAGCGCTGGTCCACTGGTGGCTTGTGCAGTCACCGAGACGCTCTCCAGACTAAACGCATTTGATATGAAAAATGCATGCGTAGTTAAATAAAGACGTGTTAGGCTATAAAAGCCTTTTTGGATATTGGGTGTTGGCAGCAGTGCTGTGGGTATAAAGGTGTTATAAGCATGGCTTCACACAGCATGAAATATCATCTGAACCGTTTTTAACAATACAAATCCAGCAATATGGAGTGGCACTTACATTTTTGAATGTAAATAGAAAGAAATGGGAGTCATTTCTCAATTTAAACATAATCAGACACGCGATTTCCTATATGTTGTGAAAGTGTGTCGGCCTCTTTCTGAACTGGAAGAACAACGATGATCAGAGATTGTCATCCACATGTGCACGTTAATGCTCAACCTAACTAAGGTTCACCATCACTGCGGCGCTAAAGAGAGAGAGAGAGAGAGAGGGACATTCTTTGCGATTTCCAGACCCTCCACACACAAACAGTGGAGCTATTTTTAGACTGATTTGATCAGAGAACTTTGCAATGCCGTATCGCTGCACAGGAGCTCTTGGTAAATGTAAACCGAGACTGCTGATGATGTCTCAGAAATAAGAGAGAGAGAGAGGACGGCGATATGGAAGATGAAACAGATGGCTCGCTCACCCTGTTTGGGTTTTACTTAACATAGACATCTGTAAATGAGCAATGGCCCCGGGCCCGGCATTCGTCTCTGTCTCATCAGTGTTAAAGTTAGTTATTTCTGGAGCGCGCGCACACACACACACACACACACACACACACACACGTATTGATGAGTCTTGCTTGCAGGCTAATTGAAATCTGCACATGGATTATTCATGCCTGGTTGATGAGCCTGGGGAGTCTCCTAACTATGACTTCCAGACGAGTTGACCTAGAATAACGCTGGATGATCCCACTCAGTTTGGATTGCTGCCGAGGTTGAAAAAATACTTTGTTTTCAATTGCTGAAATCACAAATTTCTATTTTTTTTTTTAAAACTGCATGTGAGAGCCAAAATGGAACTACACATTTTTGACCAAATAAGTGATTAACACAACAATCATTGAAGAGCAAATGGGTTCTTGTCAATGTCCATCTTTGTGGAGTATGAACTAATTCCCTCCATTTCAATTATTGTGGCTCTTTGTTCCTGTTTATTTGACCAGGATTCAGCAGCAATGTAAACTAGGGCAACTATAGATTCATCAATTGATAATTTCCTGACTTGCTTTAATAGTTTTAGGTGCAATACATTTGGCTAACCAGTAAAGCTGATGGTGGATACTTTGGCAACATTTTGGCACGTTCCCCATGTGCTGCTTCTAAATGTCAAAGCATTTAACCGACTGAAGAGCCAGAAAGTCTTTTTTTTTTTTTTTAGTGAACTAAATCAAGAGAGCTGGTTCTTTTCAGAATGCTCCTGACCACAGTTTGATGAGCTGTCTGAAAACAGGGCAGCACACCTCACATGTTGGTGTCAGCCTCTCAGAGTGGAAGTCAGATTCTCAGTGTAGACACACTTTGACACTGGGACAAATCAATCATAAAAGAGGCAGAAATAACTGTTTAGGTTTTGAGTGGGGCGTTAAATGGGATGTGATTCTCACTTATTTTATGTGCTGTCACTATCACTTTCACTATTGCCCTCTCCACCCATACTGAAGACAGCAACTTCATGCATGCTCTACATGGTTTTGCATGCTGCAAAACCAACAACACTTATATGTTGTCTGCGGCCGGGATGTTTTTGTTCTTCGTTTTTTTTTTAAATAATGAAGTTGTTCTCAAAATGTCATTCTGAGTGGCGTTTAAGAAAGTCTTAAGAAGTCTAACTTGCCTTAAGCTGTAGGAACTCTGGAAAGACATTATACATTAAAGTGAAAGTACACATACAGCTTCAGGGAATGTTGGCATATTAAACACATCAGTGGACTGAAAATGAATCTTCAATAATAACGCCAAACATTTAGGATTTGCTGCTTTCCTCTGTCTTCTATGTAATAGTAAATTCAATGTTTTGGAGTGTTGGTTGAATAAATCAAGTGGTCCATTTATGTCACCATGGGCTCCAGGAAATTATAGTCAATCAAGATATTTTTGAAGTGATGTTTTTCACCATTTTCTCAAAATGACTAATGGCTTAATCAAGCAAACAATGGGCAGATGAATCAACAATGGAGATAATTGTTAGTTGCATCCCTACATGGAACAATCAAGGGCAGC